CACAGGAAGACGCTATTTAGATCCCTTCCGAATCACAATGTAAAAAAATTGGCCCGAATTGAGGCACTCATTAGGTTTACTCAAAACCTCTGTCACAAGTGGGATTCGAACCAAGTCCCTCCAAGGGAGACTGCGATCGGAACGCAGCCAAGTCGCAGTTTTAATGTGAAAATTGGCCGTAATTTGGCCACCTCTTGCGGAATATCTGGTCAATGTGAGATTGACACAGGAAGACACACTCTTTACCACAGCCAAGTCGCAATTGTAATGTGAAAACTGGCCGTAATTCGGCCACCTCTTGCGGAATATCTGGTCAATGTGAGATTGACACAGGAAGACACTCTTTAGATCCCTTTCGAATCACAATGTAATAAAATTGGCCGGAATTGAGGCACTTCATTAGGTTTGCTTAAACACTGTCAGAAGTGGGATTCAAACCCACGCCTCCAGGGGAGACTGCTACCTGAATACAGCGCTGTAGACCGCTGATGGCCGGCCAATTGAGCCCAGTTGTTTGATCGATTAAGAGGTGTAATGTGAAAACTGGCCATAATTCGACCACCTCTTGCGTAATATCTGGTCAATGTGAGTCGCACAAGTCTAAACGTAAGATTGACACAGGACAACTCACTCTCTATATCCCCTTCGAATCACAATGTAAAAATAGTGGCCGGAATTGAGGCGCTTCATTAGGTTTACCTCAAAAACTGTCAGAAGTGGGATTCGAACCCACGCCTCCAGGGGAGACTGCGACCTGAACGCAGCGCCTTAGACCGCTCGGCCATCCTGACATGGAGTTGACACGCTCACCAGAGTTGATCGTTGGCTTGAATTAAAACATCAGTGGCTTCTTCTGCACAGATGCCGTTTTGTCCAAGTATAATGTGCCATTGATTGTGTTGGGGAGTGTCAGTAAAAACCCTCTCCTCCCCGTCGGGGAATTGAACCCCGGGTCTCCCGCGTGACAGGCGGGGATACTGACCACTATACTAACGAGGAACACAAGTGCATTGAACATTCCTCGTCACGATCAAATACTTTCAGTCCTACAATTTTTAATATGAGGTTGAGGACATGACGGGATCCAAAACACCAGCGAAAACAGGCATTGGTGGTTCAGTGGTAGAATTCGCGCCTGCCACGCGGGAGGCCCGGGTTCGATTCCCGGCCAATGCAGCATACACTTTAGCACACTTAGTGGTAGAATTCTCTTCTGTACCGAGGGAGGCCGGCCAATGCAGCTTCCGTCACAATGTGCCGGGAATTGGAATCACAATGTAAAAATAGTGGCCCGAATTGAGGCACTTCATTAGGTTTACCTCAAAACCTCTGTCACAAGTGGGATTCGAACCAAGTCCTCCAATGGAGACTGCAATCTGAACGCAGCCAAGTCGCAGTTGTAATGTGAAAATTGGCCGTAATTTGGCCACCTCTTGCGGTATATCTGGTCAATGTGAGATTGACACAGGAAGACACACTCTTTACCACAGCCAAGTCGCAATTGTAATGTGAAAACTGGCCGTAATTCGGCCACCTCTTGCGGAATATCTGGGCAATGTGAGATTGACACAGAAAGACACTCTTTAGATCCCTTCCGAATCACAATGTAAAAAAATTGGCCCGAATTGAGGGCACTTCATTAGGTTACTCAAAACCTCTGTCACAAGTGGGATTCGAACCAAGTCCTCCAAGGGAGGACTGCGATCGGAACGCAGCCAAGTCGCAGTTTTAATGTGAAAATTGGCTGTAATTTGGCCACCTCTTGCGGAATATCTGGTCAATGTGAGATTGACACAGGAAAACACACTCTTTACCACAGCCAAGTCGCAATTGTAATGTGAAAACTGGCCGTAATTCGGCCACCTCTTGCGGAATATCTGGTCAATGTGAGATTGACACAGGAAGACACTCTTTAGATCCCTTTCGAATCACAATGTAATAAAATTGGCCCGAATTGAGGCACTTCATTAGGTTTGCTTAAACACTGTCAGAAGTGGGATTCGAACCCACGGCCTCCAGGGGAGACTGCGACCTAAAACGCAGCGCCTTAGACCGCTCGGCCATCCTGACATGGAATTTGCACCTTTACCAGAGTTGACCGTTGGCTTGAATTAAAAACCAATAAAAACATCAGCGGCTTCTTCTGCACAGACGCCGCGTTGTCCAAGTATAATGTGCCATTGATTGTGTTGGGGAGTGTCAGCAAACTCCCTCTTCTCCCCGTCGGGGAATTGAACCCCAGTCCTCCCCGCGTGACAGGCGGGGATACTGACCACTATACTAACGAGGAACACAAACTAATTGAGCATTCCTCGTCATGAGCAAATACTTTCAGTCTACAATTTTAAATATGAGGTTGAGACATGACGGGATCCAAAACACCTGTAGAAACAGGCATTGGTGGTTCAGTGGTAGAATCTCCTCGCCTGCCACGCGGGAGGCCCGGGTTCGATTCCCGGCCATGCAGCATACACTTTAGCACACTTAGTGGTAGAATTCTCTTCTGTACCGAGGGAGGGCCGGCCAATGCAGCTTCCGTCACAATGTGGCCGGGAATTGGAATCACAATGTAAAAATAGTGGCCCGAATTGAGGGCACTTCATTAGGTTTACTCAAAACCTCTGTCACAAGTGGGATTCGAACCAAGTCCTCCAAGGGAGACTGCGATCGAACGCAGCCAAGTCGCAATTTTAATGTGAAAATTGGCCGTAATTTGGCCACCTCTTGCGGAATATCTGGTCAATGTGAGTCGCACAAGTCTAAACGTGAGATTGACACAGGACAACTCACTCTCTATATCCCCTTCGAATCACAATGTAAAAATAGTGGCCCGAATTGAGGCGCTTCATTAGGTTTACTCAAAAACTGTCAGAAGTGGGATTCGAACCCACGCCTCCAGGGGAGACTGCGACCTGAACGCAGCGCCTTAGACCCGCTCGGACATCCTGACATGAAAATTACACGTTCACCAGAGTTGATCAATGGCTTGAATTAAAACATCAGTGGCTTCTTCTGCACAGATGCCGTGTTGTCCAAGTATAATGTGCCATTGATTGTGTTGGGGAGTGTCAGTAAAAAACCCTCTCCTCCCCGTCGGGGAATTGAACCCCGGTCTCCCGTGACAGGCGGGGATACTGACCACTATACTAACGAGGAACACAAGTGCATTGAACATTCCTCGTCACGATCAAATACTTTCAGTCCTACAATTTTAAATATGAGGTTGAGACATGACGGGATCCAAAACACCAGCGAAAAAAGGCATTGGTGGTTCAGTGGTAGAATTCTCGCCTGCCACGCGGGTGGCCCGGGTTCGATGCAGCATACACTTTAGCACACTTAGTGGTAGAATTCTCTTCTGTACCGAGGGAGGCCGGCCAATGCAGCTTCCGTCACAATGTGGCCGGGAATTGGAATCACAATGTAAAAATAGTGGCCCGAATTGAGGCACTTCATTAGGTTTACTCAAAACCTCTGTCAGAAGTGGGATTCGAACCAAGTCCTCCAATGGAGACTGCAATCTGAACGCAGCCAAGTCGCAGTTGTAATGTGTAATTCGGCCACCTCTTGCGGAATATCTGGTCAATGTGAGATTGCCACAGGAAGACACACTCTTTAACGCAGCCAAGTCGCAGTTGTAATGTGAAAACTGGCCATAATTCGGCCACCTCTTGCGGAATATCTGGTCAATGTGAGATTGACACAGGAAGACGCTATTTAGATCCCTTCCGAATCACAATGTAAAAAAATTGGCCTGAATTGAGGCACTTCATTAGGTTTACTCAAAACCTCTGTCACAAGTGGGATTCGAACCAAGTCCTCCAAGGGAGACTGCGATCGGAACGCAGCCAAGTCGCAGTTTTAATGTGAAAATTGGCCGTAATTTGGCCACCTCTTACGTAATATCTGGTAAATGTGAGTCGCACAAGTCTAAACGTGAGATTGACACAGGACAACTCACTCTCTATATCCCCTTCGAATCACAATGTAAAAATAGTGGCCCGAATTGAGGCGCTTCATTAGGTTTACTCAAAAACTGTCAGAAGTGGGATTCGAACCCACGCCTCCAGGGGAGACTGCGACCTGAACGCAGCGCCTTAGACCGCTCGGCCATCCTGACATGGAATTTACAAGTTCACCAGAGTTGATCGTTGGCTTGAATTAAAACATCAGTGGCTTCTTCTGCACAGATGCCGTGTTGTCCAAGTGTAATGTGCCATTGATTGTGTTGGGGAGTGTCAGCAAAATCCCTCTTCTCCCCGTCGGGGAATTGAACCCCGGTCTCCCGCGTGACAGGCGGGGATACTGACCACTATACTAACGAGGAACACAAACAAATTGAGCATTCCTCGTCATGAGCAAATACTTTCAGTCCTACAATTTTAAATATGAGGTTGAGACATGACGGGATCCAAAACACCTGTAGAAACAGGCATTGGTGGTTCAGTGGTAGAATTCTCGCCTGCCACGCGGGAGGCCCGGGTTCGATTCCCGGCCAATGCAGCATCTGCTTTAGCACACTTAGTGGTAGAGTTCTCTTCTGTAGTGAGGGTGGCCGGTTCCGATTCCCCGGCGAATGCAGCTTCCGTCACATTGTGGCCGGGAGTCGAAATCACAATGTAAAAATAGAGGCCCGAATTGAGGCACTTCATTAGGTTTACTCAAAACCTCTGTCAGAAGTGGGATTCGAACCAACTGTGATCTGAACCGCAGCCAAGTCCGCAGTTGTAATGTGGAAAATTGGCCGTAATTTGGCCACCTCTTGTAGAAAAAAACTGGTCAACTGTGAGATTGGACACAGGAAGACCACACTCTTTACCACAGCCCAAGTGCGCAATTGTAATGAGAAAACTGGCCGTAATTCGGCCACCTCTTGCGGAATATCTGGGCAATGTGAGATTGACACAGGAAGACACTCTTTAGACTCCCCTTCCGAATCACAATGTAAAAAAATTGGCCCGAATTGAGGCAGTTTATTAGGTTTTTCCCTCAAACACTGTCAGAAGTGGGATTCGAACCCACGGGCCTCCAGGGGAGACTGCTACCTGAAATGCAGCGCTTTAGACCCGCTGATGGGCGGCCAATTGAGCCCAGTTGTATGATCGATTAAGAGGTTGAAATGTGAAAAACTGGCCATAATTCAACCACCCTCTTGCGTAATATTGGTCAATGTGAGTCGCACAAGTCCTAAACGTGAGATTGACACAGGACAACTCACTCTCTATATCCCCTTCGAATCACAATGTAAAAATAGTGGCCCCGGTATTGAGGGCGCTTCATTAGGTTTACTCAAAAACTGTCAGAAGTGGGATTAGAAACCCACGCCTCCAGGGGAGACTGCGACCTGAACGCAGCGCCTTAGACCCGCCTCGGACCATCCTGACATGGAATTGACACGTTCACCAGGAGTTGATCGTTGGCTTTGATTAAAACATCAGTGGATTCTTCTGCACAGATGTCCGTGTTTGTCCAAGTATAATGTGCCATTGATTGTGTTGGGGAGTGTCAGTTAAAAACCCTCTACTCCCCGTCGGGGAATTGAACCCCGGTCTCCCGCGTGACAGGCGGGGATACTGACCACTATAACTAACGAGGAACACAAGTGCATTGAACATTCCAGTACCGAGGGAGGGCCGGCCAATGCAGCTTCCGTCACAATGTGGCCGGGAATTGGAATCACAATGTAAAAATAGTGGCCCGAATTGAGGCACTTCATTAGGTTTACTCAAAACCTCTGTCAGAAGTGGGATTCGAACCAAGTCCTCCAATGGAGACTGCAATCTGAACGCAGCCAAGTCGCAGTTGTAATGTGTAATTTGGCCACCTCTTGCGGAATATCTGGTCAATGTGAGATTGCCACAGGAAGACACACTCTTTAACGCAGCCAAGTCGCAGTTGTAATGTGAAAACTGGCCATAATTCGGCCACCTCTTGCGGAATATCTGGTCAATGTGAGATTGACACAGGAAGACGCTATTTAGATCCCTTCCGAATCACAATGTAAAAAAATTGGCCCGAATTGAGGCACTTCATTAGGTTTACTCAAAACCTCTGTCACAAGTGGGATTCGAACCAAGTCCTCCAAGGGAGACTGCGATCGGAACGCAGCCAAGTCGCAGTTTTAATGTGAAAATTGGCCGTAATTTGGCCACCTCTTGCGGAATATCTGGTCAATGTGAGATTGACACAGGAAGACACACTCTTTACCACAGGCCAAGTCGCAATTGTAATGTGAAAACTGGCCGTAATTCGGCCACCTCTTGCGGAATATCTGGTCAATGTGAGATTGACACAGGAAGACACTCTTTAGATCCCTTTCGAATCACAATGTAATAAAATTGGCCCGGAATTGAGGCACTTCATTAGGTTTGCACTGTCAGAAGTGGGATTCGAACCCACGCCTCCAGGGGAGACTGCGACTAAACGCAGCGCCTTAGAACCGCTCGGCCATCCTGACATGGAATTTGCACCTTTACCAGAGTTGACCGTTGGCTTGAATTAAAACCAATAAAACATCAGTGGCTTCTTCTGCACAGGGACGCCGCGTTGTCCAAGTATAATGTGCCATTGATTGTGTTGGGGAGTGTCAGCAAACTCCCTCTTCTCCCCGTCGGGGAATTGAACCCGGTCTCCCGCGTGACAGGCGGGGATACTGACCACTATACTAACGGGAGGAACACAATCTAATTGAGACATTCCTCGTCATGAGCAATACTTTCAGTCCTACAATTTTAAATATGAGGTTGAGACATGACGGGATCCAAAAACACCTGTAGAAACAGCATGGTGGTTCAGTGGTAGAATTCTCGCCTGCCACGCGGGAGGCCCCGGGTTCGATTCCCGGCCATGCAGCATACACTTTAGCACACTTAGTGGTAGAATTCTCTTCTGTACCGAGGGAGGCCGGCCAATGCAGCTTCCGTCACAATGTGGCCGGGAATTGGAATCACAATGTAAAAATAGTGGCCCGAATTGAGGCGCTTCATTAGGTTTACTCAAAAACTGTCAGAAGCGGGATTCGAACCCACGCCTCAAGGGGAGACTGCGACCTGAACGCAGCGCCTTAGACCGCTCGGACATCCTGACATGAAATTTACACGTTCACCAGAGTTGATCAATGGCTTGAATTAATACATCAGTGGCTTCTTCTGCACAGATGCCGTGTTGTCCAAGTATAATGTGCCATTGATTGTGTTGGGGAGTGTCAGTAAAAAACCCTCTCCTCCCCGTCGGGGAATTGAACCCCGGTCTCCCGCGTGACAGGCGGGGATACTGACCACTATACTAACGAGGAACACAAGTGCATTGAACATTCCTCGTCACGATCAAATACTTTCAGTCCTACAATTTTAAATATGAGGTTGAGACATGACGGGATCCAAAACACCAGCGAAAAAAGGCATTGGTGGTTCAGTGGTAGAATTCTCGCCTGCCACGCGGGTGGCCCGGGTTCGATGCAGCATACACTTTAGCACACTTAGTGGTAGAATTCTCTTCTGTACCGAGGGAGGCCGGCCAATGCAGCTTCCGTCACAATGTGGCCGGGAATTGGAATCACAATGTAAAAATAGTGGCCCGAATTGAGGCACTTCATTAGGTTTACTCAAAACCTCTGTCAGAAGTGGGATTCGAACCAAGTCCTCCAATGGAGACTGCAATCTGAACGCAGCCAAGTCGCAGTTGTAATGTGTAATTCGGCCACCTCTTGCGGAATATCTGGTCAATGTGAGATTGCCACAGGAAGACACACTCTTTAACGCAGCCAAGTCGCAGTTGTAATGTGAAAACTGGCCATAATTCGGCCACCTCTTGCGGAATATCTGGTCAATGTGAGATTGACACAGGAAGACGCTATTTAGATCCCTTCCGAATCACAATGTAAAAAAATTGGCCTGAATTGAGGCACTTCATTAGGTTTACTCAAAACCTCTGTCACAAGTGGGATTCGAACCAAGTCCTCCAAGGGAGACTGCGATCGGAACGCAGCCAAGTCGCAGTTTTAATGTGAAAATTGGCCGTAATTTGGCCACCTCTTACGTAATATCTGGTAAATGTGAGTCGCACAAGTCTAAACGTGAGATTGACACAGGACAACTCACTCTCTATATCCCCTTCGAATCACAATGTAAAAATAGTGGCCCGAATTGAGGCGCTTCATTAGGTTTACTCAAAAACTGTCAGAAGTGGGATTCGAACCCACGCCTCCAGGGGAGACTGCGACCTGAACGCAGCGCCTTAGACCGCTCGGCCATCCTGACATGGAATTGACACGTTCACCAGAGTTGATCGTTGGCTTGAATTAAAACATCAGTGGATTCTTCTGCACAGATGCCGTGTTGTCCAAGTATAATGTGCCATTGATTGTGTTGGGGAGTGTCAGTAAAAAACCCTCTCCTCCCCGTCGGGGAATTGAACCCCGGTCTCCCGCGTGACAGGCGGGGATACTGACCACTATACTAACGAGGAACACAAGTGCATTGAACATTCCTCGTCACGATCAAATACTTTCAGTCCTACAATTTTAAATATGAGGTTGAGACATGACGGGATCCAAAACACCTGTAGAAACAGGCATTGGTGGTTCAGTGGTAGAATTCTCGCCTGCCACGCGGGAGGCCCGGGTTCGATTCCCGGCCAATGCAGCATCTGCTTTAGCACACTTAGTGGTAGAGTTCTCTTCTGTAGTGAGGGTGGCCGGTTCCGATTCCCCGGCGAATGCAGCTTCCGTCACATTGTGGCCGGGAGTCGAAATCACAATGTAAAAATAGAGGCCCGAATTGAGGCACTTCATTAGGTTTACTCAAAACCTCTGTCAGAAGTGGGATTCGAACCAACTGTGATCTGAACGCAGCCAAGTCGCAGTTGTAATGTGAAAATTGGCCGTAATTTGGCCACCTCTTGTAGAAAAAACTGGTCAATGTGAGATTGACACAGGAAGACACACTCTTTACCACAGCCAAGTCGCAATTGTAATGTGAAAACTGGCCGTAATTCGGCCACCTCTTGCGGAATATCTGGGCAATGTGAGATTGACACAGGAAGACACTCTTTAGATCCCTTCCGAATCACAATGTAAAAAAATTGGCCCGAATTGAGGCAGTTTATTAGGTTTTCTCAAACACTGTCAGAAGTGGGATTCGAACCCACGCCTCCAGGGGAGACTGCTACCTGAATGCAGCGCTTTAGACCGCTGATGGCCGGCCAATTGAGCCCAGTTGTTTGATCGATTAAGAGGTGTAATGTGAAAACTGGCCATAATTCAACCACCTCTTGCGTAATATCTGGTCAATGTGAGTCGCACAAGTCTAAACGTGAGATTGACACAGGACAACTCACTCTCTATATCCCCTTCGAATCACAATGTAAAAATAGTGGCCCGTATTGAGGCGCTTCATTAGGTTTACTCAAAAACTGTCAGAAGTGGGATTAGAACCCACGCCTCCAGGGGAGACTGCGACCTGAACGCAGCGCCTTAGACCGCTCGGCCATCCTGACATGGAATTGACACGTTCACCAGAGTTGATCGTTGGCTTGAATTAAAACATCAGTGGATTCTTCTGCACAGATGCCGTGTTGTCCAAGTATAATGTGCCATTGATTGTGTTGGGGAGTGTCAGTAAAAACCCTCTACTCCCCGTCGGGGAATTGAACCCCGGTCTCCGCGTGACAGGCGGGGATACTGACCACTATACTAACGAGGAACACAAGTGCATTGAACATTCCAGTACCGAGGGAGGCCGGCCAATGCAGCTTCCGTCACAATGTGGCCGGGAATTGGAATCACAATGTAAAAATAGTGGCCCGAATTGAGGCACTTCATTAGGTTTACTCAAAACCTCTGTCAGAAGTGGGATTCGAACCAAGTCCTCCAATGGAGACTGCAATCTGAACGCAGCCAAGTCGCAGTTGTAATGTGTAATTTGGCCACCTCTTGCGGAATATCTGGTCAATGTGAGATTGCCACAGGAAGACACACTCTTTAACGCAGCCAAGTCGCAGTTGTAATGTGAAAACTGGCCATAATTCGGCCACCTCTTGCGGAATATCTGGTCAATGTGAGATTGACACAGGAAGACGCTATTTAGATCCCT